AAGATGCTGTAGTGTCCGGCCTCCATATACTCATACATTACTATAATACGGTGAACACAACACCATCATTGAACCCTATTCTGGGTCTGGACTGTTTAGGATTGGCTTTGAAACCTTAGAAACAATTCTTAGATAAATAAACCGCTGTTTATTGGGTAAACTGCTCATCAATGCAAATAGTTAATCAGCCAGTCAGATAGCAGCAAATTAACGCATGCAGGCTTGTAGACGTGGTTAAGACAACCTATTGAAATTCAAACCAAACATCAGAATGGGGAAGAAAAAGCGACTTTAAACGTGGCAGGGTTGTTGGTGCCAGACAGGATGGTCTGAGTATTGCCAAAACTGCTGATACAAGTAGATTTTCCTGCACAATCATCTCTAGGGTTTACAGAAAATGGTCTGGAAAAAGACAGTAACAAGTGAGCAGCAGTTCTCTGGGCAAAAACTGTTGATATCAGAGGTCAGAGGAGAATGGCCGAACTGCTCGTAAGAAGGCAATAGAGCGGCCAAATAACCACTCATTATGACTAAGGTATGCAGAAGAGCATCTATGAATACACAACACCTCAAAGCCTGAAGGAAATGGGCTACCTCCTGCAACTCCCACGTGTCTTCAGTCAGTATCACTCAGAGGCCTTTAGCCTAATTTTTTAATCTGTGCTTTCATAAAAGCGTTATTTTTAGACATTTACTACTACTGGAGAGAAGAGACGTGTGGTGTAAAGCCTGTCAAAGTTTTTAATCTTTTATCTTCAAAACTGGAAAATGGCCAAATGTCACTGGCTTTCATTTAGCCAGCTCCTTGTGAGCACTTATTTGGCTGGAGACGTTTGTTTTAGAAAAAATGTGCTTATTTCTGTTTGAGTTGCAGAAGGTCGTTTTTTGGCAAGACAACGGCTGCTGCAGCAGAAGTAGTTCTCAAAAACAATACTTTTCCAGAGACATAGGGTGGCATACAGAACATGAAAGCATGGAGTTGTATCAGTGCTTCAGGTTGCTGGTGGTGTAATGTTATTATAGAGTTCACTTTAGGCTCTTTAGTATCAAATGAGCATTGTTTCACCTTATCCATGCCACAGTGTACCTGATGGCTGCTTCCATTAGGATATAACCCTATCACAAAGCTCAAATCATCTCAAACTGGTCTGAGCGAGTTCACTGTACTCAAATGGCACCACAGTCACCAACGCTCAGACAGGAAGAGCACCTTTTGGAGGCAGTGAAACCTATGAACCTACCTATGAAGCGCCTTGAGGCGACTTTTGTTGTGATTTGGCGCTATATAAATAAAATTGAATTGAATTGAAACAGGAGAGTCAGATCCCGGATGTACATGTCAGAAACCTGCAGCAACGATGCGCTGTAATCATATCAATAAGGACCAAAATCTTGAAGGCTTTTTCATCACCGTCCTGAATCTGTGCTACAAAGACTTAAAAGATTTCTGAAAGCAAAAGGGGGCCCAAACGCAGTACTAGTAAGGTACATCTAATGAAGTGAGTGTGAATATTCAACCTCCTAAGATCTGAACTCTTTTAAGGGTAATAATTTTTAATTTCTCTTTGCTATTTTACCTGATTTTGCTCTACAAGCGCCTGATAGCCGCATATGAGGATATTCGTTTTAAATGTGAATAGAACAGTGGCAGCACAATGTCCTTGTAAGTGGACATCAGGCCCTTGTAGAGCAAAATTTTGTACTGTGGTCCAGCCAACCCAAAATGTGATGTCCACATATGTGGTCACTGGGTCCTAGGAGGTTAAAATGGGATGAGCACTGAGAGCAGATGCTGCTTCCTGGTGGTGTTAAAGTAATGACCAAAAAACAGCAACACTTTCAACTGTGAAAGTTGAATACAACTCCACAGCTTTAATTACCTTCATTTCCTGTACTGGTCTACAGCTAGCTGCCCATTAGAAGCATAAAACACCTTCTCACCTTAAACACATTCAACTCTCCAGAATTACTCACCTCAGTTTCTACGGTCATAAAGTGTATTTTATAACAATCTTGATTTAAAAAACAACAACAAAACAACCCAAAAAACCAAACTGTAATCCTTTAAGCACTTCAGGCTTGCCAGGAAATTCCCAGCCGCCGTAAAGAGAGTCTTGTGCTAACAAGACTGCTTTAACTCGTACAGCAGTGATGGTTGTTGTACCTGACAGGAGTGTGTCACAGCTGTTATTACACCTGCTGTTAAACAGTAAACAAAGCCTCGCCTCAGTGCACCTGCGCTGCAATAGCTTTGGTGATTACCATATTGATGTTAACATCAGGCTTTCATTTGGCCATCTTGGGACGCTTCAAAGAGCTCATTTGACTCTTCGTGTCAGAGCTTTGATCCTGAAAGGGTACACAGCAGAACAAAAACAATATAAACTCCGTCATTTCAATGATTAACTACATATATACACTTCGAGTACCATAAACATGCAGCTTTATTATCAGAGCGAGGCTCGCTACAATAGGGCCTTGTATTCTTAATGCGGCCTGACGCCATGCAGGGGTTGCATTAGAGCACAAGAGGCTGTTAGAGCTCAGTTAAGGCAGGGCAGGTGCAAGATGACACCTCTGAGTCATGTGCAGACAAAGCAGGCACCAAGGAGACACCAGACAGCGTGATGACGATGCAGGAGGAGGAGGACTGGATGACGGTCAACACTGATTTTAGTCAAGATCAAACCCCAAATCAGAATCATTTCTATAAATCATTTAAGACACATTAAAAACAGTGTTTTACATATGGGTCCAGTGCTGAAAACTTATGTGGTTTCATGGGCCCTTAAAAAGCAAGCAGCTCAGTAATTGTGCTTGTGTACTAAACTACTGGCTGGCAAAGCTTCGTTACAGTTAATTTGCTTAATTTAAAAGGCAGAAGATTTTAGTTTTTTAAAAATTAATCTTTAGAACTTGAACGTTTATTGTAGTCAAGTACATTAAAGTAAATTACAAACTGGTTATAATGAAAGACGTTATCACACAATACAGTGGTGACTCATTGTTATTGAGATAATACAAATGCAGGAAGTCACAACTCTTAAGTGTTAGAGCATTAAAATTAAAGGCTTGAATACTTCTGCTTCGTGACATAAAGCAAATTAAATACAAGTACAAAACATAATGATAGATTACGCTTTCTAAATGTTGTGTAAAATTTCAAAATTACTTATAGGAATAGCAGAACAGAAGAAACAGCTTTGAACTCTGTGCTTACATCACAATAAATCACAAAAAAACCCAAAAATGCGTGGGTGCGTGGAGAGAGGTTTAATTTGGATCGAACTGACGTCAGTTGGAAGTGCGTCACGCTTGAGGGTGTATGAATGAGGCTGCAGGGCTTAAAATATGTTACGTCAATATTACACTCCACCAACCACTGACAATCTGGGACTGATGGAACAAGAGGTTTGGGCGTATGCACTCTTGGTTCTCCACTTTAATTTAAATTATAAAAACAAAAATCTAGGTACAATTTTGCTTGCAAGTCATATGAAAATACAGAATTTTTTCTCATGGACCCATTCGTTTAATTCAGATAAACAGTCCTGGTGCATACCTCTGACAATACAGCAGAGAGCACTCTCAGAAACCAGACTGCATCCTGGAAAAGATCAAGCTGAGACAAATTCCTCTGGAAAACCTTTGCAACCTGCTTGCAGTGGGAGAAACCACATTAAATCACATTG